TGCCCCCCCGCCTTCTCCGCACTTCAGGCTGTTCCAGGCAAGCACTTTCTCTGCCTTTGAGTTTGCAGAGTCGCTAGAACAACAGAGCCCTGCACCTGAAAAGTGCTTTTATGCTTTGACATATCATAAACATTAAATAAACATGAAGCACTCATGTAGGAAAATACAGGGAAGAAAAGCTTCAAAACCTGTTGTTGCTCCATTATTAGCAGATCGACTGCAGCGGACCTGTTCCAGGCAAGCACTTTCTCTGCCTTTGAGTTTGCAGAGTCGCTAGAACAACAGAGCCCTGCACCTGAAAAGTGCTTTTATGCTTTGACATATCATAAACATTAAATAAACATGAAGCACTCATGTAGGAAAATACAGGGAAGAAAAGCTTCAAAACCTGTTGTTGCTCCATTATTAGCAGATCGACTGCAGCGGACACAAGGATGGCAATGCCGTCTGCACCGCCCATTATGACCCTGTTTGCGGCTCTGATGGCAAAACTTACGGAAACCCGTGCGAGTTCTGCAACGCAGTTGTGTAAGTATGGAACTCACCACGTAGCCATGAAACCAGAGGAGCTGGAGCACACACGCATCGGTGGCAGCTGGTGTGGAAGCCCCGGAGCTCCCGTTAGCCCCTTGGTAAATCCATCCCTGCTCTGCGTTCCTCTCCCGACACTCACTCCTCTGTCCCCCCCCCCAGGCACTGAAGATCTTAAGCCCGAGTGAGTCTTCTCCTTCCCTTGCAATTAAATCCAGATCCCCAGTTGCAGGCTCATAGTGTTGCTGACTCCCTCCCTGCCAGAGTGATTTAAACTGTGACCATAGGAGGTGTTCAAAATTATGGGGTTTGTCCCAAATCTCTTTCACGTGAGAAAGTGTGTAACCTGGGGAATCAGGAAAGAGGTGAAACATTAGGTGGAGTACTTTATAACTTGGAGATTGTGAAAGCATTGGCTTATTTGGGTGAAGTTAGACTATAAAACTGAGATCCATGCCCGTAATTTTGGTCTCCCTCTTTCTCTTCAGGCGGAGCGGGGGAACCCTGTTCCTCAGACACCGTGGTGAGTGCTGAGCGCTGGAGCTATACGCTTTGCCCTGATTTTTCCCTTACAAATCCTGCAATCAAACACGCTCTTCCCTGCTCCCTCGACTGCTGGTCTCTGCTTTGATTGATCAATAAATTAAACAGCCACTCGCTTTACCATGGACTGGTTTTTGTTTTTTTTCTTTTCAGGGCAGGGGTAATGGTCTTCAGGCTTGTAGGTACTTATCTGTCAGGCAGGAGAAGTTGTGAAATAAACCACAATAAAGAACAAAGCGTAACACCCATCACACACCAGCCCAAGCCCTCACAAGAGTACGTCACTCCATACCAAACCATCAGAAGAGAAACCAAGCTGCTATAAAATACCGCCACTTTCCTAATTTCGGTGTCTTATAGAGTGTGAATGGATTTGTCTTTGTAACAGCACTGAGTCTTGGAGGAACTGGTCCTTTTAGGGGCCCAGGCACGGGGGCATGAGGCTGGGGAAGTGTGAAAGAGAAAGGTGGCCATGGTCAGCCCTACCTGGTCACACCTGGGCAAGGAGCAGGTCTGGCTGTGCGTTATAAAAAGGAGGCTTATGGCAAAGGGAGGAGGCTATCTCATAGGAAAGAAAATTAGGAACTGCTGCTTCCGTGAAGGGTGTGTCCATCGAGACTGTGTTGATCAGCAGAAAATTGCAGCAAGCTAGGCAAGGCTATAATGAGCCTAATGAGAACCCGAGGAGAAATTAGACTGGGCTTGGGCTTTCAGCTTCTTGGAGAAGAGATCTGAAAAGCTGTACTTGGGGTATTTGAGGCAGAGGTAGGACAGGGGATGGTTCAGGAAAAGGTTTTCTAACCCTAGGAAAGAAGGGCCAGAAGTTGTGCTGGTAGCTGCAAGATGCTTTCTATCTTGGGAAAAAAGGCATGAAGATAAAATCTTTGTGGGAGCCTAAAAAGTGCACTGGAGGAGCAATGATATATATGAATGTTCATGATGATATGCCATATTTTTGGGTGAGTCAAGGAGTTAATATGCAAACAGCACAGGCAAAAAGTCCCTGGTGCCATGGCTCACACACTCCCTTCCTCTTCTTTTCTCCACCTCCCGTTCCCTTGTTACATAGCAAGAATATCTGCTGCTAAGGCTGATATTTAGGACAAAATCTGTGACTTCCAAGCCTTTTCTTTGTGTCTTGTTTCCTGAAGTAGATAATTTCTTGACCAGGAATTTTGTAGGTGCTTCCCACCAGAAGGGTAAGAGGCTTGTCCTTCCCCTAGTACTAGCTCAGAGCAATGCTCTGTCCTAGGAAGAGGGATGGAACATCTTATTTTCAGGATTTTTTCTGTTACTACAGACAATATAAATCACATCATGCCTTTGTGCCTGATCTTAAGAAAAGAAAAACTGGAGAGTCATGAGAGTCCTCACTGCTTACCTGCTTGTGTGTGCGTGAAAAATAATTAAGGAACAGTCTAAGTAGTTAGTGGATGTGAACAGAGACCTGTCAGCACAGAACAGAGCTCTGCTATAATTTCTTGTTGGCCAAGAGGTTTACGGAGTGGCCACAGACTAGTGGAGTTTTGGCTATAGCAGGAAATCATCTTCAACAGCAAGATCCTACAGTGAGCCTCCTCTGCAGTGGTAGTTTCTGCCTGAGGAAGCCAGATACTTGCTTAGGAGCTCAGAAGGCTTTGGAAAAAGCCCGAAGAAGAGCTGCTCACCTACAGGGAAAGGGAGGGCAAATGGCAAGTACTGGGTATATGGCTGTATCCTAGATGCCTCATGAGCCTCTAAGCAAGAGCTCTTTAGAAGATGGAAAGGTTTATATCACATAAGACTAAAGACTGGCCCAGCACAGGTAAGTACTCGGCTTGACACCAGCAAGACTCTGCCCAACTACACCCCTTAGACTGCAAAGCAAGGTCCAGGTGCCCTTCTTCTATCCCTGATTTTCAGAGAACTCAGAGGGACAGAAGAATTCCCTCACCTATGCCAGCAACTGGCCTGTTTCAGATGTTATAAAAAAGTGGAAAGGGGTAATAACGATAATCACCTGGTTGGTAATTTAGTCTCTTCCTCTCCTCAGCCCAGAAGGGATTGGTCCCTGCGGTACATTTTCTAAGGCTTTAGCCAGTCAGTTATGCTGCAGCAACTGAAATGTTTGGGTAGATAAAGGGCTGAGGCATTAAGGCTGTGGTTGTGAGCAGTGATGTATGACACTAGAAAACGCAAACAAGTAGTGCTGTGAGTGGCAGAACTAAGCATGATTTTGAACGGCGCTGCGGCTGACTGACTTGATAACTAAATTATATGAGAGGCTGCGTCATGAGCTCACCCTTAATAGACATCTGAGAATTCACCTGTCAGTCACAGTTTCTCTGCTGTGTGGATTTTAGGATGTCTAGCAAGCTGCAAACTCTAATGCTTCCCCGAATGCAGGGCATTCATAACATTGCTCTCCTGCAGAAACTCTCTCCCTTGCTGGCTGAGGACGTTAGTAGCATCTTTCCGCTGTTGTTAGAAAAATGTATAAAAATGTATTTATTATTTTTAATTTTTTTCACCCCTATGTCAAATTTGGTTGGAACTAGTTGCAGATTCAAAATTTACTGGGGCAACTAATAAACAGGTATATCTATATACATTGCTCTCCTAAGCCTTGTCTCTTTAGGAATGCATACTAAAATTTTAAGCTTATTCTTATCTGAACAGATATTTTGCAAATGGTGCAGCTGAACACAAATCCTTGCACAGACTCAGCTGGAAATAGAGCTCAAGTCTCCCAATTCCCCATCAAATTCCCTTCATTGCCACTTGCTGTGGGAGCGGAGCCCTAACATATGTTTGTGAATGTGAAAAACTGGAAAATGTTGACAGCTAGAGTTTAAAAAGTTCAAGGAGGAGTCAGCAGTTCTATCTGGGACTGTGCACACAGCTATGAGAGCATGTCACATCAGAGCGCTTCTCCACCCAAACCCAACAAATTTAGAACTATCCTCAAAAATAGCCAGGGAACAACGTATAATTGGTTTCACAGACAACACATTCTCATGCTGTGATTTATTTCGTAACGTCTAGTGAGTGTCATCATGCCGCACTCAAAGGCTCGGAGCTGGCATTCAGCGAGGGCCCAGAGAATGAAAATTACCAGCTTCCCCGATGAATCACCGCTTTGAAAATTCACCCTTGTGAGAATCCTGTGACTATTTAGAAAGAAAAAAAAAAAAAAGATATTACAAGCCCGAGTCTATCACTCATATAATTAGCCCTTTCTAGGTTTGATGTGGACAGGGCAGCATTCCTAAAGCACCATAAACATGGCCAGGACCAATAATGGCTTTAGAAACGAAGTGGAGAAGTTCTCACAATTAAGGTGGGGAATGAGGACAGCTACGGATGGGCGCATAAATACACAGAAAGGCAGGTCTGTGTGCGCACTGTGGGCTCCGGTGCTGAGACAACACCTCCCGCACAGATCGCTTGGCTTGGACTAGAACTACCTGCAGCATGAGGGCAACAGGTGCCTTAGTGCTTCTCAGCCTGCTGCTGCTCTCTTTCGTCCCAGGTAAGTGATCTTTTCTCTAGCCTAGAAAAAAAACCCAAAACCTTTCCTGACAACAGCAAACTTCAGAGAGCCTTGATCGCTGGATGACAGGCTTGAAGATAAAGCTGAGCAAGTCGAAAATGTCTGCAGGACTTGCTCACTCGTATGACATATTTCCACTCCTCATGTGCCTCCGCAGTGAATAATGCAGCGGAGGTGTCACTGGGAGACAGAGTGAGCAAATTCTAAGCGGCTCTTTCAGCAAATGTACCAAAGTGTATAGAGTGTAATTATGAATTTTTGGTACAAATGTTTGCTGGAGAGTTTTGCTGAACCAGTTAAAGAAACTCACTCATGTCAGGGTCATCAGCTCTTGTTTTGGTCCTAAGCATCTTGGTATTTGGTGTTTTCCTTGGAGATGTGGAAACGTAATTAGATGAAAGTTTCAGCTTTCATTTATGTTGCAAAGAAAAGCTTGAAAATTAAATTCAAATGTCCTCAAGGAGTCAGAACAGAGAGGGCAAATTAAAAGGATCCAGCATTTATTTATCTGGAGATTTACACATCTCTCTGATGATCTGGGGAAGCTGAGTGATGATTTTTGAACATATAGGTCACATCAGCGTTATCAGTTGCTTGCATCCAGCAGACCCAGCTCTGGAAGGTTTGTGGTGACAGTTATTGAAGAATGTGCAGAACAAGAATTATTTATACTTGTTTTTCTGTGAATAATTTGAATAAAGAATTCACTTGAGAAAACTGCAAGCTGTGCATGGCAAAAAGAGGTGAATTACTTTGTACACATTATTCATTATGAAATATTCATCTGTCTCTAATTGAGTCTTAATTGGGACTGGATTCCATCAGAGTGCTGAAGCTTCCTTCCAAGGCCAGGCAGAATAGCAGCAAACACTGTGATCTCCTATAAAATAAACAAATGTCAAGAGACATCATCACAAAGTCTTGTGTAGCCACATGTAATATTTATAAAAACTATCTAATAAGCTATTCTGTAAATAATATGCAGATAGCCATAACAGTGACTTTACAATTAAGGCAGCCTAGCCTAACCTGAGGACATGATAAATACACCAGCGCCAAGGATAAAACACCGAAGGGCAACACAACTGGCAGAAGAAGTAGGGTGGGTTGATGGATGATGGTCTAGCTGACTGAGGGTTGGGTGGGATTTCCAATGGGTGGGGACCCAAGTCTAGGACAAAGTCCTCCCATCTCCCGCCCCAGCTTCCCTCCTGCTCAGAGCCACCTGAGCAGCATCACAGCTGGCAGTGACCCCACCGACCCAGCAGGTACAGCCTGGCATCCGAACCTCTGCCGCCCCGCTGCCGTGCGAGATACCGGGTATTTGTCCCACAGTGTTGTGACCCAGATTCTGCAAATCTGCATTCAGTCCACTCTTGAGTGTCAGGCTCCCCCTTAGAGACATCGCAGGGTCGCCCTGTCCCGCAGCTATGACTCAACCTACGTGCCCGACTGCAGCGAAGAATTACAAAGAGGATGGACTGATTACCTTCAAGCCCAGAGCCTGTGGTTACAGTGGGTATTTTTGCACTCTTACTGACCGGCACTGCCTGTTCTGCTCTGTAGCACCCCATGATGTCTCTTTGTATCTCTCCCGGGATGAAGTTCTTCTGGGAGAGTCTCTGGGCTGTG